GAAGTGCATAATAATGAAAAGAAGAAATCAATGTGTTCTTTGATGGAGGTGTGTCACCTAAGGACTGGTAAGTGGGAGCAGAAACCCACCACTGGTAACCCTCCACTGGGTGTTGTTAGCTATGCAGCTGCTGCCATTGGAAGGCAAATATTTTATTTCGGAGGGGATTGTAATCATGGTGACTGTTATCATAATAGTTTATGCAGGTAAACATAATAGTTACTGATAAATATGTGACCATAATTGACAAAAGGTACCTTATGGCGGGTAGTGAAATTTGTCATTATAGCCAAAAAAATCACATGTCCAGCAATGAGTGGACGCGGATTAGTATACTGAGCAATTATCTCCGTATACTACTGGTTGACTTTATACAGGGCAGGAATGGACATTTCCATTTACTAGGCTATATCTTTCTTCAGAATAAGTCTCATCAATTTGCGCACTTCAGTAGCTGTTCTCCATAATTATACCTGTGTTCCTGCTAAATATGACAGCACTTGGAGTAACTTTGTGTGGAACATTTGCAGATTAAAGATGAGGCAGTCAGTGCCGCCATTTTTGTCATTCCTTTATGTATGTATGATAATTTTTTTCCTTTTTGAATGGTTATATCTAAATTTCAAACAATTTTTGACAAATTGCGCACTTATTTTGTGAAAGTACAACATTTTTACTGCCCAATCATGCAAAAAAGATAAAGAAATTCAAAACTTTGTTCGGTACTTTAGTCTTCTAAAGGTGAAATAATTTTAGTCGTCTCAGTGATAACGGGTGCAGCAACAAGAGTGAACAAGTGCTTTTCTCTTCTCACGGGAATAATAAAGTAAAACTAAGAGTGCTTAACAACTATACAAGCAAATCATGTCTCTAGATCCTTTTCAAAGTAATAACAAGAAGGCCTTTTGTTAGTGGATGACTGAGTCTTCTTGCGCCACGCCTGCCACTTTAACAATAGAATATGAAAAAACTACCATAACCAATTGCATTAAGTAGCATTCAAGAAGCTCCAAGTATCTAGTGAAGTCCCATCCATGAACCAGAAAGACGTTAGCAGGCTTTGTAGTGAAGCTTCCTATCAATCCACCATTGCTGAACTGCCGTTGCTATGGTAATTCCAATGAATATCATTAAATTAATGCGACCGGAAGTCCCATTGCAATAGCTGGACATGAAACTTCCTGAGCTCCATTCATCATAAAATTACTCCACAGGATGTAAAAAGTTACTGTGTAACTTTTAGAAGGAATGGTTGTCCGACAGAGCACTCACAGGTTGATATTTTTAATTATAATGATGATTTTTTAAATCCGCAGTAACGTACCTTTTGTCAATTATGGTCACATATTATATATTTTTTATACAGTTTTAATGTTGATACCTTCAAATGGAAGGAACTCTCTCCTACTACATCTCATCATGGTCCTAGGATGAAGCACCTCTGTGACATGATAGCAATAAAAGTGAACAGTGAGGACTATCTTGTAGTAGTCGGAGGATATGGATCAACTTCTAATAACACACCCAAACAACCTGGTGCCCAGTACAGTGAGATTGAAGATATATTTTCTATTGAAACTAATCAACGATGCAATGAGATTCATTTCTATAAACTCTCAACAGGTCAGAGCACATACAGTTTATATTAATATAATGAAGTATTGTTATTTGGTGGTTCTCCACTCAGACTGGTTGCATTGAGAATTGCTTGCTTGTTTGTTCATGGTTGTCACTTCTAATTATTTGATAATATGATCAAAGAAATATCACCTAGTTTGCTCCACCCAATGCATTCCATTCACACTAATTATTATTATTGATATTTTTAGGACAATGGATATCACCGACTGTCACTGGAGACAGACCACCTCCTA